AGACTCACTGGGCGACGCTCAAAGCCTACCACCTTATTTTCAGGGCACTGCGATTTAATCCTTGACAAATTAAACCGCCGAATCCTTTCTGTCCGCCTCTCTCTTGGCCCGGTCCATTTAGGGCGCCCACTACTCAGACCCTGGGCTTTCATGGAGGATTTACAAGCAGCCATGTGAAGTATTCAGACACTTTGCAGCTCAGTGCGGCCCTGCGAAATCCATGTTGGCATAATTTCTACTCTTTCTGGATCAGACTAGATTAAATGCAAAGGACTCTTAGGGTTTTTTTTTCCGGGTTAATTAGAATTTCCAGAGGAACTGCTGATTGCGCCCTTGGGGAGCTGAGCCTAGTTGGTGTAAAATCTGGTTCAGAAAGAAACTTTTATGTCAACCCCTGGGAACTTAGAACATCACTAAGAAGGTGTTGAGAGGGTAAAGACATAACTTTATAAATTTGCTGCCTTCTGACAGGCACCACTTCAAAGACAATCATAATCCATATTCAGTATCTCATGAACCACTGAACCTACTTTTACAAAGTACCTTCACATAGTAGTCACTGTACATCTACAACTGATTCACTATTGTAATCGACTTGGTAAAGATGGATGCCATGGCTAATCTATTTTAGCAAACAAAAAAGAACAGTCATTTTTTACAGATCTCTAGTTATAATTATATGTAGTAGCTTAGAGTCATCCATCCATATATCAAGTGACAACAGCTTAAATTTAGGAAAGTACAAGCTTTAAAGGCTTGAGTAGGGACTATGCTAATCTCAGTAATTTTGGCTATAAAGTAAAAGAAAAAAGTATGTTTATATCAGAAGGCCTATAACAACAAGGCAACAGCCAAAACACCCCACTCCAACATTAACAATGACCCCACTCTGGCCACCATCTTGGAGATGCCACTGCTGTAGATAAGAAAAGAAAAATATTGCATCAGCAGGAAGACAGCGCACACATTACCACTTCCCTGCGCCTGATTAGTAATTTGTGTTTACCTTGTCTGCACTAAAAAAGAACATTCTTATCGACTCCAAGAAACACGTATAAACAAATTCATGCGCAGGCCGAACCATTTGGGAGCGGTAGCCATGGTAACCCACACCGAGTAGGAGCAAAAGAGGCAGAATTGATTTCAAAGGGAGTGAGGGGAAAAGAGCTGACGAGAGTCGACCATGGAGCCCATAAAAACCTACGTCACGAAGAGAAGGCACAGGGAGGCGAGAATGACTCGTGAATCTCCAACAGTCTGGCCTGCAGAGACCGTTCGGCCTCTGATGGGGTGTATACTGAAGACATACAGCACTCTTATGTTTTTTTTTTTTTTTACTGAGCAGATTATCTCCAGTAGGGATTGACAGTTTAAAGTCAAAATGGGGAAACCCCTCTGGGAGCCTCACGGTGAAAATCAGATAAGAAGAAAGACCTGCAGCTCATGCAGGTGCATTCTCAGATCCTCTACTCAGCAAATTTAGGTCAAAGTCAAAATACTAATCATAGCTTGTCTGAACAAACACAAACTCCTCTGTCCTTCTCTCTGAGGTCTTAGACGTCCCTTGGTGAAACTTAATTAAATCTTTATTACACGATCCACACTCATCCATCATTATCTGCCGTTTTGGCTGAGGAATCCACCCAGTCATGTGTGCAAGTTCATGAAGGGGAAACACACTTGGAACGAGGAAACAAGCCCCTCAGTAGGGGGCTCAGTTCTCTCTGAGAGGTCCTGGTGACGGGATTATTTCTGGTAGTTGCATTGTCACTAAGATATTGTTATGTAATGCAACAAAAACGAGCTGCGCCACTCCAGCTCCAGCTCACAGTTTTATGAGAGGGTTGTCAAACCCTGATCGGGGTCAGCAGGAGGTTTTCTAATGCAGGGGGGTTCTGTCATTGAGGTCCCACTATTCAAGACAGACAACAAATCTTTTGTGCCTCAGTTAGGAAGAATCAATGAGCTTCTTCTAAATATGGATATCATTCGCTCTGCAGCCCACAGCAGCACAATGCGAAGCAGTACCGGGTTGCACTAATTGTGCAGGGCTGTGTGCTGCGTATAATAGCGGGAGCAGCCTCATGCATTTGTGAGCTGGAATAGCATCTATTCTCTAACCTCTCATAAAGAATGACTGGCACAGCCTAGTGTTTGTCCTCAGTGTTTGAATGAAATCCCATGACGACGATTTAAAAGCCCTGAAACCTCCACACCCGCATCCGAGCGGCCACCCGTCAAATTACATGTGCAAATCAGTTTTGACACCAGCTTCCATTTATGAATTCATGGAATCTTAATGTGTGCAGCTACGTATTCCGGTTGCAGCTGATGCACCTGTGCTTGCAGCTTCTCCAAGGCTGCGTAAATGGGTCAGCTCTAGAAATATCCTGGCTCAGAGAAGAAGTCGTGATGCCTCTCCACCCCTCCTCCTTTTTTTATGTATTTTTTTCCTCATTCGTCAAAACCATTGCTGCCAATATCTGTGAATCTTTTATTTGCTAGCAGCAAAGTCATGAAAGTTGTACCAGCAGGAGAAATAAAGTCACTCATTTAACTGTATGAAAGAAGAAAATCATTACTCATGTTGTTTTCTTCTGAATGGGTTTTTCCAGGCAGTGACAAACTGTGCAGACAGCCTGCAGTCTTTTAGCAAGATATTAAAGTCATTCCTTTGGTGGTGTTATGTGACACTGGGAAAGCTGCATCCAATATAAAACCTTTGCTTTTATTCTTGATCAGATGATCATCTTTCCTTCTTACACTGAACCTGGATTTGTTAGCTAAGAACAATGCCTTCTCCACATAAAAAAAGATGCAAGCGAGCAGACAGAGCTTTATAAAAAAAAAAACACTGACCATTTCATTGTGTCTGCAAAATCTATTCTGTGCACTGGACACTTCTTTCTGTAATAAAAACTTGCAATGAAATCAATCTGTTTTATAATTAAAACTGAACCTTTATCACAATGCATGAAATCTATGAGTGAAAATATTTAGACTGGGCGTTTTTGTGGTTGATAAGCAAAAGTAAAACAATCAATTTTGATATGTTTGTTTCAGCTCTGTGATGCAGTCATTGATCCATACAGAACAGGGCAATGAAAGAGATCATTCTGGTGTTGTGGAGGGAGTCACTGTTTGTCTCTCACAGCTGCAGCTGCTGTTTTTTTTTTTAACATTTAAAGCTCGAATGAAAGACAGACTAATAGGATAGATAGACAAAGATAATGCATAAACCTTTTTGCCAAAAGTGTAACAGTGATAAGTGCTAATTTGTTTTTTGGTTGTTGTTTTTTTCAATATTTTTCAGATGTGCAGAAATGTAATTTTTTGTGTAACTTTGACTAAATTTTTGTCATTTTTTATTTGAATTGTCATCTTGCTAAAAAAAAATAAAAGGAAACATTTCTACTTAAATGTTGCAGTGCTGCAGTTATATATTTTTCTAATAAAAAAACTCACTGTTGCAGATAATTCACACATTATTATGAAGAGGAAAAACAAACTTCAGCATCATGTAATGATCTACAGTAATTTGTGAGTTGTCTGTATTTGGAGGCTGAAGGCTGAGAGGCTGTTGGTCTGCACCACCTTGTGGTCAGAGAGGGGCTGATGTGATAACTAAACAAAGACAAATGGTTAAGCTCAGTGAAGTGGGTTTGCAACAAGACAATAGAAAAAAAAACGTGTTAAGTCAAATGAAAAAATAGCCTACTTAAAATGCATATTGTTAGATAAAAACCAGAGTATGTTTTTAACACTGAAAAGCTCCATTTCTCAACATTATGCTCTCAAAATATATTTATCTATTTTAAACTTTTTACCCAGAGTTTTCTCTTTATGTAATTATAACTGTGAGAATGCTGATTCGGGCCTAACTGTTTCTCTTTATTCTTTGTACGTTTTTAGACATGTAAGTGATACCTCTGCAAACTTTGTGCTAATTTAGGTCTTCAAATATCAAAATGCTCAGTTCATTTCTGACATTATATGACTGGTGTCTTTTATAACTGTTTTCTGAATATTTGAACTTACTTCCAAAATATTTCCCCATAGTATTATAGTGATTGCAAATACCCTAAAAAATTATGTTCGTGTACTTCATTATACTTGCTCCTTTTTTGTCCTATACTTTTTTTTTCAGTTTCATGTTTATATTTGTATTTTGCTAATTTTAGCTTCAAGATGACATTTTACTTATTTTCCATTTAAGCTACGTATTACTTTGAGACTTCAGCTGTTCCAACGAAATACTTTTAGCTAGTGAGCATTTTGTTATTTTAGTTTTAAGAGGACTTTTGCTAGTTTGACCTATAGGGTAACTAAACGTGATCAAAAATTGGAAACCAGAAAAATTGCGCCAAAAACCAAGTGAATGCTCTGTTAAAAATCTTTATTATTCAGCTATAAAAAAACTCTATATCAGTGTCAGAGCCACTGTCTCCCAGTGCCTGTGTGTGGCACTGAGTCATATTAGAAACAAAACAAGGGCCCTATCTAAAGCCCCGCATCTCCCTCTAAGTCTTATATGCTTTTAACAAAGTGTAAAATATAAGACTGTATCACAAATTCAGTTAATTAGTCAAAACATTTCCTGCAATGTGTTTTTAATATTTTTTTAGATTTTAGATAGCATTTTGCAACTCTTAGTTAGCATTTTGTTACTCCTAACATTAACCAGCATTTTTTTTTTCATTTTAGCTTATAGTATTTGCCTCTTAAGAAAACTCAATTTCAGTTTCTTCAGCAAATTTCTTTTAAGTCATTCAACTCTCATACAGCATGAAATGTAACTGCTCATTTCCAAATATTTTATCTCAAAAAGTTTTCAAATCTGTTTGGTTGTTGCTGTTAATGTCTTTTTTTTTTTTTTGTGAGCGTAAAGCAGTTTGGTTATGAAAAAAAGTTGATGTTGTTGTTTGTATTGGAGCCACTGCAAACATAAGAGAATCACATAAAGAGGAAAAACATCAATTAACAGTTCAAACAGAACCTTCTTTGTTGGGCATAGACTTTATTAGACATGTGCATGTTCAACAACATACTCATTTTCACATGATATAGCTACATTGCATATAACATCTATTTTCTTTTTTTTTCTTACATTTATTTCAGTAATCCACCATGAATTTGATTATGCATCATTTTATTTTTGATCAACAAAATCCGTAGATTGTTGCACTTATTATATTTGTGATGTGCATATTTAAATATGGCAGGCATTGACTGACAGTTTTCACTCATTCACAAATTTGTAATGACTCTATATTTTTTACAATGATTATACTGTGCAATTGGAAAACAATCACCTGAAAGAAAAAAATACATTCACAGTCAAATGTTTGCACCATAAATGATTTAAACCTTCAAACAGAAAAAAGATTGTAAATGCAAATGTAGTTCATTGCATCGCTGTCCCACTTTATTTTGTCCATCAGTCTTTGTTCTACCATCAAGCACTGTTGGTGATAGTTCATTTTCCTACAATACACAGTGGAAGAAGCACTGTTTTGCTGGTTATCCTGACAGTAAAACTATACTGCAATACACTGAGTCGCTGTAAAGTTTTAAAATGAACTCCCGGATTACTCATTCAGAAACGTACTAGCCTCAGGCAGCGAAGCTTGCAAACTAAAGCGATGCAAAAAATAATTAAAATAACAGTCCAAACTTTTTTTGATGCAAGAGAGAGACACACACACACCTAATATCAACAACCACAAATAGCAGGGGGGAGAGAGGCGACAATCTGCATCACTCAGAGCTCTGTACAGCATATCTACTTGAACGGTCACAGAACATCCACACGTTTTTGCACCATTGATCACGAGGGGTCACTGTGGCTACACAAACAGACCAAGAAGCACAGGCAGCATGGGGGGAGGAGGGGCGGGAGGTGGGGTGATCAGGACTTCTATAGATTCTCGACTACTCAAATCTTCTCTAAAAAAGCAGAATATTGCCAAACTAGTTCCACATTTTTAATTCACTCTTTCTGGAAGACATTTTCCTTATTGGTTAAAGAAAACGTTGTCAGTGCAAAGAATGAGATGCAGTGAGTCACTGGTGCAGAGTTGCTGCTCATATTCAGGGAATTCTGCATCCCTTTTTTTTCCCTCCCTTGTTGTGCAGATGAATTGTATACGTGTAACATTCCTTGGCTGAGTATGCTTTGAAGCATGGCCTTGTTTCTGGAAGCAGAAATCTGCCAAACTGAATGAAACTGACTTATAGCTTGAAGTGAAATGCATAAATCCACGAGTTGCTGCTAAATCCTACAGTTAGTCTGACATCTTGTGAAAATTTATTGTAAAGCCATTTACTGTAATTCAATAGCTGATTTTCAGTCAGAACTTGCCCTTGTGTTGCTTTAAAAATGTTTTTTACTATGTCACCAACGTGGTAGCATCTCAGAACTGAAACACTGAGAAGCTGCTTTGTCAGCTGAAAAAAAAAAAAAAAACTCAGAATCCTGAAAACATGGACTTCATCCATCAGTTCATAACATTGCATTTAAATAGGATTTTGCTGCTTACATGTGTGCAAAAGTACTTAAAATAAAAACATTTTTACCTCACAAAAATGCATGCTTGCCCATCTTCATTTGTGAACATTTACAACACGATTACAATGGAAGACCTTCAGCCACACATAAGTGTCACAATCAACTGGACATCCCTGAGACAGCTCCATTTGATTTGACCTCCTTATCTGTCTAAGGCATGTTGTAAAAGGTGGAGAGCTTCAATTGTTGTGTGGTAAAAGAAAAGGGAAGCGAAGTGAAAGCGACAACGTACTCACAACAACAAAGCTACTTCACGAACTAATTCAACTATGTGTGACGACATAGATACCAGCGCCAAAGCGAAATGTTTGAAACGGCGACAGTTGCTCCCTCCTGTTGACATGCAGGTAAGACGTCACCATGACTAGAGTTTGCTAACACTGTGGGAAGCAAAGTGAACTGTACAAAAAATAAAAATAAATAAAACCTTGAGGAAGATAAATGTGTTGGTGATTTCACTTTTCGAAAGGTCTTACATTTCTGAAAAAGCTTATAGAGCATTTTCTTGTATTTTTTATTACCCTTTACTTTTGCTTCATCTGCAGGAAGGTTATGAGCAATAAATATCTTACCTGCTATAGGTGGAACTAGAGATTAGCTCTGATCAAATTCACAAATGAATAATTAGTCTGAGTCAGGCTAGGGCCAAAGTGAAATGTCCTAAAACAAGTCCAATTTCAAAAATTGTTATTGGAAGTGTCTCAGATATAAAGGAAATGCTAATGCTATTAGCATTTACAAAGAAACACAAGTCTATGTAAATATTTGTGTAATGTGACGCTGGCAATGATTTAAAGATTTTCAAAAAATACTGTTTCCATGTACTACTACGACATTTTTTAGATTGGAGTCAATTCAAGACAGCAGCGATCTACTTTGGTCCCGACTCACTCAGATTAGCCATTAAATTGTGAGAATTAAAATTTAATATTCCAAACTGAGGTTAATCAAACGGCAACTGTATCTACAACAGCTAAGATAATAATTATTCATACTTTTTCCCAGAAAATCTATTCAAAATATCTCAACTCTTGTGTCACGCTTTGTTTTAAGGAAACAATATTAAACAGCTTAAAATGGAATGGAAAAACTTGTTGCTACATTATGATTCAAGGTTCACATAAGAAGTTGATAGTTTGATTTTGTGGCCATAAGAACAAAAAGGGCAATCTTTCCCTTCCAAATATTTTTTGTACAGTCTTTTATTTTTTTAACCATATGTACCACAATAAATTTACAGCACCAACAAACAAGAGGGAGCAGTATATATTTTTTTTCTTTTCTTATTTTAGTGTATGGGTGTCGCATGCACATAGAGGTTTTTGAGCAGTTTGAGGAAATGATTCCTCTAAGCTTGAAATAAATGTTTCAAACATCTGTACCTGACTGTATTCTACATTTAGCTATATCCAATAGATTTGAACCATTTGGGCAGTGGGAGTCAAGTGAGTACACTTTCTTATCAGTCTCAAAAATTGGAGATTCTGTTGGTCCTTGCTCGGTGGGGAGGAGAAGGGATGTGTCCTTCAGTTTGCCTGTCCATTTTTCTCTCAGCGGGAGGAGGGAAAAGGGGGTGATGGGAGGGTCTCGTGCCAGCTCAGTCTGAGAAGAGACTGGCAAAAGATTTGCGTAGATTGCGTATGGTTTCAGCCTTGACCTCGTCCTGGCTAAGGCTGGCTCGTGCCGCTGGGGTTTCTGGAATGTTGAAGGTATTGGTAAGAGACTGGGATTTGCTATAAGGAGAAGGAAATGGCAATAGAGGAGAAGGAGAGCCTATTAAAGTCATGCAGCAAACCAATGGAGTGAAAAGAATGGAACACAAGCAGGACAGAGAGAGATATAAAGAGGAGAAAAATCTTAGTAAAAAAATGATAAAGGGCCACTCCTTCTCTGGGGTCATTCAGAATTACCATTTTCAACTTTGACACAATATGAACAGTGAATGACTTTTCTATGTAGGTGTGAAGTGATGCATGTTTTTGATAATGACAATGCTTTTGCAATAAGTAGCTTAAATAACATAGATAAAATAAGCGTTATGCAAGTTATGTTTCTATGTGAACCATCTGACTGTTGTGAATTTGATAGTTAAGTAGAAAAAGCTTTGTTTCGGGTCATTTATATGCATTTATATGAATAGTAATTAGTCTTAAGAACTGTAAAGTGGTCCAGATTAGGTAAACGTTTGCTTTCACTATCATGTAGGACCCGTGCTTATGAAGTGCAACCTGCAGGTAATAAGTGATAAGAACAGGTTGAAGTTTCAGTTCATTTCCTGTGGAAAGAACAGATTAGCGGGGCCGATACTAATATTTTAACAAATACTCATACTCGTTCCAAATGCCCAGATACTTGGCACCAAAACCAGCATCGATAAACAATTTGATTGTTACAGTTTACATTTCAAGTGAAAAGTTTGTCAGTTTAATGCTTCAAAATGCATACAAGTTGAAAATAAATATTTAAATGTTTCAGCAGTATACATCCTGCTGTATATTTGATTTGATCCAGTCAGACTTAAAAAACCACACATTTTTAAAAATAATTAAAATAAGGTGTCTCTCCTTCCGAACAGGTCCACAGCCAGGCCTATTCGAAAGGAGAGACACCTTGTTCTAATTTTTTTAAGTGTTTTTAAAGTCCTTTTGTAATGTTTAAGTTCTAACTCAGTAAGTACTCTGTATTTGTACTCAGTAGTTATGAGCAGCCAAACTAAAGTACTCATTCTCTCATTCGATATAAGAAAAACTGCTAGAGACATCCCTAGAACAGATCAATATCTGATTTTCTTGGTGAGTTTTTTTTTTACACACGAACTGTTTAATTCAGAACCTTTCTGATACTTTATACTTATTTCTTTTTCATTCTTACTGTTACAGCATAGCAGGCCTAAAACATGATACTATAACTGTGTTTCACAGATAAGATATGCCTCTTACACTATATGCAATGTTTCTCTCCCCCTGTAGATTTAATATTTCATCCCAACATTAACATAACCTAACCCAGGGGTTTCCAACTCTGTTCCTTGTGACCCACAGTTTTGCATGTTTTAGCCATTTCCCTGCTTCAGCACACCTGATTCAAATAATTAAATTACCTCTTCAAAATGTCATCAAGTTTGGTTTTAGCCTGTCAATCACTCATTCATTTCAGCCAGGTGTGTTTAAACAAGGAAACATCTAAAACCTGCAGGACAGTGAGTCACGAGGAACAGGGTTTAAGATCTCTGTTTTAGAGATTTCTCTGCTCTAACACACCTGATTCAAATGAATGGGTAATTATCAGGCTTTTGTAGAATTTGCAAGAGATAATTCAATCACTGAATCAGGTGTGTTGGAGCAGGGAAACAAGCAGAACATGCAGGATAGAGGCACCTTCCAGGACCAGAACTGAACAGCCCTGTTCTAACTCATCCCAGCCAGAAACACTTGTTACGTGTTTTCCTGATTGTGATTCATATAAACACCAATTGTATCAAGTTTTTTTTATTTCTTTGATTACCTTAAATCTTGTGTTTACGTTTTGTATTATTTTAAATTCCTACTGTTTGGCTCTGTTATCTCAAATCTTGTTTTATCTTTATAATTGGCTGTAGTTTTCTGTTTTTGTTCAGTTATTTCCTGCTTCTGACTTATTTGTCTCCAATTTCTAAGTCAGCCCACCTGCCTGGTGTTTGTCATTATCTTGCCACAGTACATATAAATAGATCCTGGTTTTTAGTTACTGCCTTGTCAGATCCCTGTTGTTCCGTTACTTGACCTTGCTTAGTTTTAGTACTTGCTTATGCAAACTGTTTCTGTTTGAGACCAGGCAGGCTTTTGTTCTTTGGGTGACTTCTGTTGGATGACCACTCCTGGGAGATTTTTTTATTCTCCAATATACTCAATCACAAATTTTAAATCTTAAATTGTTACCAACAGATTATTATAGTATGTGTTGTGTAAATATAAAAAAATGCATTTTCCCATTTGAAAAAGCTCCCGTTGAGTTAATCACACAGCTTAAATTTAAGTATAACTTCTTCAACGGTTTAAATGTGTATATTTAATTACCTCTAACAAAATATGTGCAATATTGCACATCTGATTCACCTAAATATGATGAAAGAAGTGAAGATGGTTTAATTGTTAATGTGATTTATTTTTTTTAAAACTTGATCACCTATTCTTTTAAAAACCTGGACTCTTTCTAAAAAAATCTTCTTTTTGTTCATTTTGTGCCTGACTCTCTTTCCAGACAATCGGAAATGTTTTGTGAAACTAGCTTTAAAAGCTTGACAAATGTAAGAACCAATAATCCATGCACATTCAGGTGGATCATTTGTCAATAAAGAAATTGTTCATGTGACATGTATATCTTTGTGCAAGCAGCAGGATGCATGTCACTCTGAATTTCACTCAGTGGAAATGAGATGAAACGGATCCGGTTGTTATGAACTGCTACTTACTTCAGTTGTGGAGAGCCACCCCCAGCCGGGCCGTCCTGACTGGGCTTCTGTGGCAGCTGAGGCTTTTGCTGCAAAGGGGGTCTTCCTCCTGGACCCCCTTGGCCTTGAGCAGCAGGTCTCGGCTGCTGGGTGGTGGGTGCTCCTGGACGACTTTGCTGACCAGGCGACTTCTGTTGCTGGGACCCTCCCTGGGACTGCTGCCTAGGCATTTGGGCAGGTCTCTGTGGCTGCGGTTGCCCACCAGAAGCTTTCTGGGCCCCAGCAGAAGGCTTCTGTTGGGATACAGACTGTTGCCTCTGAGCTTGAGGGGAACTTCCTTGACTTCGTTGAGGAGCACCCTGTCCTGAAGATCGTGGCTGGGCCGAGGGTCCCTGGTTAGCCTTAGCCTGGGAGCTGGGGTCACCAGTACCAGGACTGGCAGCAGATTGTTGGGTCTGAGCAGGAGGTTGGCCTTGAGGTTGAGGGCGCTGCTGAGATGGTGGACTTTGTTGTGGACCACCTAGGAGACATTAATGCTAGATCAAGATTTTATAT